GCAACTTAAGCGTTCGGCTGCTGGGAGTGCAGTATTATATATGAATTACTATAAAAAATTTTGGGGGTAGTTATTGCTTTGTAAAGTATATATATATTACATATTAAATAAACTTGCATTTTTAGCCAAAAATTAATTTATATATTTTAGTTTTCTCCAGTAATAAGGAGGAAAAACTTATATGGTAATAATATTTTAGCATAACCACCTTGGTAGAAGTTGCAAATTTTCAAGAATGTGCCAAACTCTGGTTACCATATCCAAACCAGTTCAGCAGGTCTATCTTTTTGTAAATTTTGTATGCATTTTTTTAAATTCTAAATTCTATGATTTTTTTTTCTTTGCCTTAGTTTTAAAATAAGTACTTAAGAGATTTGCTTGCACCGAAAAAAAAAAAAACTGCATTAAAATTTTGCAGGAATACAGTATTTTGATACAAAACTGTTGAAGAGAACAATTGTTTTGAATCCGTTTTTAAAACCATCATGAAATTTTAACCAGAACAAAAGAAATAAAAACTCTGTTATAAATAGCTGGGGGGGCAACAAGGTATTTTGCCCCGCGTACCAGTTATGCTCGCTACTCCACTGCTCGTACATGATCTTTAATTATAGTATCAAATATATTGTATTTGAAATTGTCATTAATTCTTTGAATCTATTTAAAAATCCCATGAAATTACCTGTTATATATATATTAGTTTGTAATATTGATGGTTGTTTAAAAAATTGGTTTAAATCATATTTCTTAAGACAATTTTACAGTGTGGATGATACTGTTGACCAGTAGGTGCCTTTTAGGATAATGTTAGCCCTAAAAGCAATAAGAGGATGATGAGGATCAAATGGGCAATAAGATATGCTTACAAACTTAATGACCTGAATATTTTTAAAGAAATGCTTTAATTTGGTCATATAAACATTTTGATCATGCATCTTTACAAAAATTGTATCAAATCGTATCAGTTGACCTTCAAACATAGTAATCCAAATGATATGCATTCGAGTTTCATTATTTATTCCAAGTAAACTTACAAAGGTAACAAAAAATCAGTCAAAAAACAAGCTGTCTTATATTTGTAATGATATCAAATACATACAATTAGCACTTTCAACTTGATACAGGTCAGCATATATGTAGTGACAAGAATTTAAGTTCATTATTATAGCTTTGGATGCATGAAAAGCCAAACTGTAACCAGTCTGTTTTCGAATATATTTTAAGTTGTGTTAAACAGTTTTAATATTGTATAGTATACTTTTTTAATTATTTCTGAATTTGAATTTCTAGCAGTTGCTTTTTGCAACTGTTTCTCCTGATATCTTAGGTAATATACATCCATGATGACATATTGTTAATAGAGACAAACACAAATTTTAAATAAATAAAATTGAGATAGACTGGAAAATATTAATAAACAACACTATATTAATTCTGAAGTATTAAAAAATAATATGATCCTTTTTGTGGCAACTATCTCCCTAGAAGACTACTAATAAAAGTGACAATATTTTTAAGAACACAAAATATCACTGGTATTAAGCATGACTTCTCTTAGATGAAAATCTGCACAGAAGATCAGAATGACTTAAAACATGAATGGTGACTGTGTATTCCATTAATTTCAGACATTGGTTTGGCCACTATTTTTTTAAAAAACATGGAACAGAGTGCTTCTGAAGATCTGGGAATCGTAATGTGTATTTACAAATATATGAAAATATTAGGGTGACATACTAAAATAGAAGAGCAAAATTATATCAAGCATATTTAAGATTTTTCTCAAAAATTAATTAATTTTAAAGAGATTAATTCCTTTCAAAATCTATTCATTTTTAATGGATGTTTCTATAGTTTCTAACTCGCATTAAAGATTGTAATGCTACCAGTTATTTTCATGACATAATGATTTCTCATTTGAGAATATTTCTTGAACTCTGTCAATTAAAAATTAATTCTAAGAATGTTTATTGTTAACAAAAGTAAAGCAATCTATGCTATGTTATACAAAAAAGAAAATGAAGTAAAAAGACAGATTATTGCTATAATGGTACTAATACTTTTTTGTGTGAAAGAAATTTCATTAGGAATAATTGTTATATACTAAACATCACTATTACAAAATTTTGCACAGCAAAATATCATTAGGTTTAAGTTAAAAGTAATACAAACATATAAATCTAAGCTGAAGTATTTAGTCATTTCTTGTATATTTGTTATATTACTTATACAAGAAAAACAAATCTATGTTTTACAAGAATGTGTCAAAAGCATTGATTTAATCTTGAGAAACATTAATTTTAAATTAAGAACAAAAGTTTAAAAGAATAAGAAACATGAAATTAAGATGAATTTTTTCACTTGGGGGAAATTTAATTGTAAATAAATAAGAGTATGAAGAAGTAGCTAGAAAAGTATCAATATTTAGTAACACTGCTGCATACAAATATTTAATTTTAGATTTAGAAAACAAATATTACAGTTACTTCTCTGAAATAATGAAAACAAATGCGAGTTTTAATTTAAAATTGAGAAACTATTGCCCTTTTACATGTAATTTTTTAAACGAATGACAAATAATATTCAAAATATGTATCTGAAAAATCATACATATCCCAATTATACAAAGTTGTTTCATAAGAATAAATTGAATTTAATTAAAATACAAATTTAATTAAATAATTCTTTGTGCCATTGCTGCAAAGAATTATACAAAGTATATAAATCCCATTTGCATGGAAATATTACAAATCCTATAGCATAGAAATGTTTCAGATCTTAATCATATGTAGCTATCATAAATATCCTAATTACAAAAATATATACATATGCTAATTCTATTAGGTATAAAATTTCTTAATTACAGGAAATAAATTATGTTTATAAATTACATGAAATGCTATGAATCCTAATTACAGGAAATGAATTATATTAAACATTATGAATCTTAATTACAGGAAATAAATTGTGTTAATAAATGATATGAAAAATTTTGAATCTTAATTACAGGAAAAATTCCTAATGAAAAACATATGCATGTTAATTATGTGAAGGTATCACAAGCCTTCCAATTACATGAAATAAACTCTTCTATAAAAATATATACATGTGCTTATACAAAAATATAGACATGCTTCTACAAAAACATATACATATCTTTCTACAAAAATATGTACATAAATTTTAGCTTATGATATCTTTAAGGAAATAAATTATATTAATAAATGAAAACAGTAAATGTTACTAAATTAGATGAAACATGATGAATCTTAATTACAGGAAATAAATTACATGAAACATGATGAATCTTAATTACAGGGAATAAATTATATTAATAAATTACATGAAAACATTTTAAATACAGGAAATAAATCCTATTTATAGATTACATAAAATATTTTGAAATCCTAATGAAAAACATATATATGTTAATTATGTGAAGGTGTCACAAGTTTTTCAAATTACAAGAATAAACTCTTCTAATAAATAATTGTAGGATTAATTTACAATTGACATTTATCTTCAAAAGAGAAAAAGATACAAACAAAACTGAATTATCTAACAAAATGATATATCAAGTTGTTTTTTGATTCAGATTCTTTTTATGTGTCAAGAAATGTCTGTTAAGAAGACGTTTTTGTGAAAAACCTTTCCCGCAGATTTCACATAAATAAGATTTTTCGCCGGTATGAGAAGTTTGATGCCGTAGAAGATCATTTTTACGGGTAAAGCGTCTATCGCACAACTCACATGTGAAAGGTTTTACACCCCGATGAATCATTTCGTGCTTCCGTAAAATACATCGCTGAGGAAACATTCTTCCGCAAAAATAACAAGACCAGCCGCTACACAAATGAACTATGCAATGATCCTTCAAACGATCTTTTCTAGAAAACGTTTTATTACATATAAGACAAGTAAAAGGCTTTTTACCTGTATGTACTAAGTAATGGTTAGATAAATGATCTTTTCTCCTGAATTCTTTACCACATATATTACAAATGAGAAACTGTTTACGGTTCAAAGTTGCGGATTTCATATTTACATCAGCACAAAGATTGAATTCTTTAGAGTCTGCATACTTTTTCGTAATAGTCATGCTTGCTTCACGACAATCAATTAATTGTTCAGGAATGCTGTTAGAGAAAGCAAAATAATTTACATGTCTAGAAAGATGATCCTTCAACGATACCTTTCGTTGAAAACTCTCATTGCAAATGAAACAAACGTAAGATTCAATTTCAAAATCAGAGCAAAGTAACGACATATTGAATAAATTGCGCGTTTACCAAATATGTTAATCTGAATCATAATATAAATAAGTACTTTACCAAGAGGAATTTAACACGAAATTTAATACACATTTTAAATCTACACTAATGAGATTTTAATGCTTAAATTTTAATTCAAGAAATAACTACCTATGCTCGCATATAAATCCCCCATTTTTATGTGCATAATGAACTTTTCGGGTTCTATGCGTATGCAAATTTTTGCTTTATGCAAAATAAACTTAAAGTTATTTAATATAATTGTTTTCAAGTAATTATATTGTATATTTTTTATTTGTATATACATGATTTTCTAAAAGACCGCGAAATGTTTGTTTTTGGTTTCAGTTCCAGACTTTAATAAAAGTGAAAGTTATTTTTTGTTTAGAGGCGCATATTTTTGTTTTCAATCATATATCTTCTAATAATGAGAATACGAATAATCAGTTACTTAAATTTAAGCCTGATTTTTCTGTAACACAAACAAAAAAATATTTTAAAAGGTACACATTTTATTATTTAATTACTAACAAAACAAAAAAATAACTGATCAAATCGAGACAATGTGCAAGGAATTACTCTCCTTGTTAGAATTTTATCTTATCATTTGGTTACCCATATGTCATATTTTTAGTTTCTTTCTTTCTTTCTTTTTCTTTTTTTTTTTCGAATAAATTAAATTTGTTCTATCTGCCTTTCTCACAGCTTGCTTTGGTACTTCCATTTTGGCATCAAGTCGCTATAAAAAAAGCAGACGACAAGGTTGTAAAGACTAAAGAGAGCTTTTTTTAAATCGGCATAAACAAAGTCGCAGCAAAAATTTGTGTTATTTTAAAATCGAATTAACTTTCGCTAGCTTGAATATTGTTCAAGCATAAAGTCAGAAGCAAAATTCATAACTTTCATGTACCGATTTATTTGCGTTTTATATGATGAAAGATAGTAACAAAAGGACAACTGGTATGATAGCTGTTGGAATATTCGGTAGTGCTGCAGTAGGCTTGTTGGTCGGGAGTGTACCTTTTGTGCTTCCTGCAGTGAGAAAAATATGTCTACCTTATGTACCCGCAACTAATTCACAAATAAAAAATATCACCAGGCTCCTACGTAATAGGAGAGGAAATGTCATAGATTTAGGCAGCGGAGACGGCCGTGTTGTAAGTTGTATTTTCTTCTAAAATGGATTTGTTATATAATTATGTTTTGATTTACAACTGATGGAATTCTATGAACAGATGTTCAGCGGTTTTACTGTAATAATAGATGTCATAAATAGTAGCACAATAGTTTAATCTGCTATGCCTCATGATGCAATAAAATATATGTTGTTGTAAATGATAATGTGATAGATTAATATATTGCATAGTGTGGTTAAGATCAGTTAGTGTACTGATAAACTGTACTTTAAAATTACTCTTCACATGCTCTGATCATGTCAGTTAAAATTAAATTTTGCCTAATTATGTCTTGAATTGCCCGCAAGTTGAATGTCTCCTTTCCTGTGTACTATGCTTTACGACTTCAGAAATTTTTCTGTTTAAAATATGCTGCTATAGATGTTTTTCCAAAATATAAGAATAATTTGAATTTTTAGAAAATTTTAGAATGAATTTCATCTAGTCTTCAGTAGTTAGTAAATTTAAGACATGCAGATGTAGTTGTTAATTAAAATGTTAGTAAACAGCGATTGGCTTGTGACCAACACAATTGTATTTTCTATAGCATTATTGTAGTTGTATAATAAATTTAATATTAACATCTTCTGCTTAAAAATATTATTTTTATAATTTTAGTGTGGTTTTAGTTATGAAATTGCTCTTAGCAATAAGATTATTAATATTGTATATGTTTTAAATGATTTTCTTTAATGTCAATTATAATGATTGCCATAATTTTGTAAAATGTTGTGGAGATTAAATGGCACACCCAATTTCAAAACAATAAATAAAGGGTAAAATCCTAGTATACGGTGCAGCCTTGGCGCGACTTTGAAAATTATCGCCAACACCAAAAATGATCCAAAGAACGTCTATATATATAAACTATACACACATAGATATGTATATACACACATAGTATATATACTATATACATAGTATATATAATATTAATACTTTATATATATATACTATGTATATAGTACTATATTACTATACTATGTAATACTTTATATTACTATAATATGTATATAGTAATTACTATATACATAGTATATATATGTATATATACTATATACATACTATGTATATATACTATATACATAGTACTGATATACATAGTACTATATACATAGTATATACTATGTTTAACTGTATATTTTCTTTGAATGACCCGTTAACTACTCATCGTATATGTCCCGTTTTTACTGCTCATCATAAAGTCGCCAAAAGTAGCCAAATCCCGTATGCACCGGATACTAGGATTAAACCGAATAAAGTAAAATATTGCTATGCATTCTTAAATTACATGGAAATTGCACTGAAGTTGAAGTTTCAATGCAGTTTCTGTATAAAATTTTTCTAAAACAAGACGCCCATGAGAAGACTATGCTTTTGGATTCTAGTTGATAAAGTAAGTGGGTTGTTTTACAAAAACTGTCACTTCTATATAATTGTTATATAGTTTAGCTTGTATAATGACATTATATTATTTTTCATTGCAGAGCTTGCTAGCATAATGGTCTCAGACTGGCAGCCCCCGAAGCAATCTTATGCAGCCCATGAATACATTTCAATTATGTATTTGTTGCAAATATGTTATTGCAAACATTTCAAAGTTTTAGTTATTTGTCTGAGTCTGAGTTTACATTATTTTCTGAGTTCGGCGATTATTATACCTCTGAAGTATGAGTTTACATTATTTTCTGAGTTCGGCGATTATTATAAGTCTGAGTTTACATTATTTTCATTACCATCAAAAATCAATATGAACATCATGCCAGAAACTTGGAGCTAATTAATATACTCCAAAAATAATAATTTATAATTGGAGCTAATTAATATGCAGTGTAATGTAAATCTTACTTAAAAATTTGAAGATAAAAATGTTATTAACTTTTATTTCTACTTCTGTCAAAGAATAAATAATCTCAGTTAAGAATTTTGGTACTAAGAATAATTGCTTTGTGTGCGAATATGGGAACAAAATATGGGAACAGCTTATTTTTACAGCTTAAAATTAGAAAGAAAGAAGCCCAGTGAACATCTACAATCCAGGATTAACCCTCTCATTGCACTTTTTTTTTTTTTTTTTTTTATCAAAATAGGTTTAAAAATTGCGTATTTTTTTATTACATATTTCAAATCTACATATATTTTAGAGTTAAAATATTAGAGTCAATCAAATCACCATTTTAGAGTTAAAATATACAAAATATTTTTGTAAAAGAGTTTTTTTTCAATATAGAATTAGATCATAGAAAAAGGTTGTCAGAATACTGAAATTGAAGAATAATGATAAAAAGGAAAATTTTGAAAATTAATATTGGTTAAATTATGATTTATTTTATAAAATACAAAGGTAAAACATATATACTAATGAAAATATTTGCATAATAATGTAATATTTTGCATATCAATTTGCACCACTGTCGAACGTTTTCAATAGAAACTGAATTTTCAGATTCAACACTATCTGCAGAATCCGAGAAATTCTCACCAGTTTCGTTATAACTATCTTCAATATATTTGAAATCAGAGTCAGAACTACTATCAGTGTCGGAAATATTATCAGGAATATAGGTTATATCAACTCACAAAATGCTTCGTGCCAGACATCTTTGAACTCTGAAAAGCGCACGCAAAATGCAACATTATGTATTCTTGTATATTTAGCAGAAATGTGGAAAACTAACACCATCTGTTAGCCCGCATCTAAATAAACAATTAAACTTCACAGAAAAGCCGAAAAGAAACCTTGAACGGGGAGAGAGTGGGTTGCACAGTTAAATAGACTGCACAAATTCATCCCCGCGGAAATTGTGGGTTGCACAAATTTTGCTACTTTTACGTTGCCCGTGGAAATCGTGGGATGCACAGCGAGAGGGTTAAGAGAATTTCTGTCCAAGGTACAGAATGTTATGCAGATAACTAAAAGGAAGAGACTAGAGGTTATCATTATTTATTTTTTGCCTCACTTGGAAAATTTTCATTGAAAACTTAGAACGCTTTTATAATTTGTTTACTTTTAGTTTAAATTAAAGTAAGGGTTAATCTTTGGATTAAGGTAACTTGACGATTTTTTGGCGAAAATTTGGCGACCAACCCTGCTACAGCAACCTGCTAGTTTTGTTTTGGACGCCATTTTGTTTTCACGAAGTAAAGGCTTTTTTTTTTTTTACCTCAACATTTTTTTCCAACAATCTGCTAGCCGAAATTACGCTTATGCTACTAGAACTTTTGTGGAACAAAAGTGCTTAATCATGATGAAGATTAGGTGCGAAATTGGGAGACAGTGCAGAATCGCCTACTGCTTGCCGCATTTTTAAGAATTGCACATACACAGTACCCATGTGCACGTCGACCAATTTTCACATAAAAAACATCCCAGAATTGCACAAAAATGGCATTGCGCACGCTCTTGACTTTATCCATGTACACTGCTAAAGTCCTACCTTTATCGCCTTACCAAAATGTCGCCAAACTACCTGTTACCAAATTTCAAAGATTAGCCAAAGTAAGTTATTTAATGATTAATTAAATATGTTAAAACTATTTTAAATAGTTGACCATCTGAAAATTTATCTATCTCTATATTTAAATAACATAGTTAACCAACAAAAATATCTGGCAGATGCTTAGCTTGCATTCGGCGCGCAGCAGTTCAGGTCTGAGATCATTGTGCTTGCATATTTTGAATATTAATAAAATATCTGGATTTTATTTAAAGCTCCACTATTTTTCAAAGTGTTCATGAACCCTGGTATTTTAAGGTCTTATCAGCAGCCAAATTGGGCTTCAAGTCCTTTGGAGTGGAACTCAATCCATGGTTAGTCATTTATTCCCAAATAAAAGCTTTCTATCTAGGACTGAATAAACAGGCATCTTTTAAGAGGCAAGATATCTGGAAAGTAAGAGCTTGCATGTTTTATTCCATAATAATTCGACATGTTTAAATTTATAATTACTTTTAAACAAGTCTATAAACCTTTTTTTAAAATTTGGTTTTAATTTTAATTAAGTAAATTAAAATTTCATTTAACTTTCACAATTTTTCAAATTGTAAATTTATTATTGAAAGCTAAAAGGTGGATATGCAATTTATCTTCTGCATTATAAATTTAAAAAAGCATAGAATTATAGATACTTAACGTGTTATCCTGCTGACTGTAAAAATCAGCTACTATCAAACCCTGAATATTGGCAGAGATCCATCACACCAACCATTTCTGCAGAATTCTGAGCCACACATCTATCTGCAATTTTCTCAATTTCTCTACATTACCTGCTGACAAGCAAATGAGTGGTAAAGTCACTGAACAATGATAGTTCGACTTTGATTCCATTCCAGGTGAAAGAGCTGGCAGCATGGATGTCTTCATAGTTTCCCCGTGTATAATACAGTCAAAAGTCGTTAATCCGGACTCGTCGGGACTTCGGCGATTCCGGATTATCGATTTTTCCGGATTATAGATCATCAGTTTAAGTCTGGTAAGATAGCATGCAAAAATTACAAAATTAAAATATGAAACCGTAATTTATGAAATAAAGAACAATTATGATCTAAAGGGTATCAAAATTTACAAAAAGAAAAAGCTTAATATTTATTTGTTTACTTTATTAAACATTTCTTTGATTTTAAGTTGCTTCGTTTTATGTGATAATACTTTCTCTTTAATTCTATTTAACAGACATAATTTCTTGTTTAGTTACAAAGTTCCGCTGTTCAAGTTCTATAATTGCTATGTCAAGAATACCGACTAATTTGTCAATTGAAATTTTTTCGTTTTCAATAACCTCTGTCACTTTCTTCACTATCAGAAGCGAATTATAATGATGAGGAACTTGTTTTAAATCATATCAAAGACGGAGTACATTGAGATGAAATACTACATTTAGTAAGGAATTATAAGCCAAATAAAATAAAAAACATATGCCCTGAAGATAAGGGTAGTGCTGACGGATCAACTTCCAATTCATTGCGCGCCACGTCTTTCCCCTCGGAACATACTTTCGCTTTAGATCTTTTACATATTGGCAAATATATATCGGAAATTCTGTTTGATATAATCGAAAGTTCAAGCTTACTTTTATAAAATTGCTCTAACAATCTGCAAAAAATAATAAGCCGGATCCAATTCGAAGATTAAGGAACAACGCAATCTGCAACATTAACTGAATTAGATAATTTTAGCTTAGTTTATACTGTCCGTTATATATTAAACGTGCATGCGTAAACGTTTTATGCGCATGCGCACACGTATATTCGCAGCCGTTAAGGTCTTACCCGCACACATAAACGCCTATGCGCATGCGTCAAAGCGAGGCATGCGCAGAAAGTTTGTAGCTTTGAGGTCCAGATTATAGATCATTCCGGATTACGAGTGTCCGAATTAACGACTTTTGACTGTATACAAATGTGCCAATTTCTTTAGAAAGCCTTTAATGAAGGCATCATTGTCTTTATTTATTGTCAGCGTTGTCATCATTTACTGCTCTGAAGTTTCTCACAGCACACACTCAAATCCTCATAACTTTGTCTTTTGCTCCTCAAAAATTCTGAAATTTAAGTTCCTTATTCTTGTCTGTTTAAGATTGTGTAATAAACAAGAATATGATTTATTCATAAAGTTATCTTTATGTTGCATCTACAAGCTGTGCCATTATTTAGTTCTCTAAAAATGATCCTTTGGTTTAAGAACAGTATGAAAATGTTACATTTAAATGTGCTGTGCAAGAATTGATTAGTGTCATAAATCGAGACTGAGGATTTTAGATTGTGATTGAAGAATTGTTTTGCAGAAAATAATACCAACAGTGGTAAAGAATTAAGTCTATTCAAACTACCCTTGTCTGAATCTTTATACCATAATAGCCTAAATTTTATTTGAAAATAGACTTTTTGACAGTATGGAGCAGCTTCAAGGAATGAAAGAAATTCAATTTAAAATGCACATCATATAGGAGAGAAATCAAATCCCTTGTATAGCAGTTGATCAATCTAATGGAGTCTCCTGCAATAGGTTCTGTCTTGGTTATCTGTTCTTGATTTGTTCTTTCACATTTATTTTAGAGTATGGCAAAGTATATAGCACACCTTTTTCAAATTAGAAACTCTTAGAAACAATGGTAAGAAATATATGCATTTTCTTTGTATAAATTTAAAAAGTTTAAAATCTATATAGTAAAAAATAATTATAAAGAAGTTTTTAATATTATAATTATTTTCATGAGAGCTGTGTGAAAAGATTTGGTACTTGCATATTATCCTGTTGACTGCAAAAATTGGCTACCATCAAACCATGAAAATTAGCTGAGATTCTGCCAAAATTTCTCCAATTATTCCTGTGGAATTCTAAAAGGACTGACTACTCTTTATTAAGTAAACAATCAATAGTTGATCCGTTTCATTTTTATGATTTGTGAAAAGACTTTTGTCGATTTCTACTGTTTTGTTAGGCCTTCTGATTTTAATAAAGCTCTATTTAGAAGGCTGTGAGTACAAACTTCCTGTAGGTTATTGTTCCAGTCTGTTACTATTTTTTCAGTCCTATTCAGCTGACAATATGTTGTCCCTTAATATACACTTTTTTAATGGTAGAATTTCATGACTTTGAAAATAATTCACAGTTTGTTGTTCTGTAAAAGGCAGTCCTAAATTTTAATCATTTTTTCCCCTTTAAAATGCAGGAAAGTATATACAGCAATAAAAATTTATTTTTAGCTTTGTTCATAAAAACCAAAGGTGGCTTACTGAGAATTAATGGTATTTACATCAAATGAAAGTGCCCCTGTTATGAGTGTGTTGTTACATCACACTTATCCATAACTGGTGCAAAATTGTGCTGCTTAGTGATAGTTTCATGGTTCACAGGATAATATATTTTTTATAGAGTATGTATATATGTATATACTCCAAAAACATTACATTTATTAATGCTAAAAGGAAACACCACAACAAAAACAAGAAAGGAATGCTTTAAAATGAAAATTTATAAATCTTTGAATACATACATCACTTGTATTTTTTACATAATCTGTAAAAATAAATAATTCATAGCTTGATAAAGTGTTAGAATGTAGGTTCTCAACCAGGATTCATAATTTAGGGAATTTCATCGTTTTAGGGAGGGATGAAATCAGATTTAAATTTACTTATTAAGTATTTAGTTTTAGTTTATGAATATACAAAACTTGGCTTTTATCAACATTTTCTATAGTTTTTCTTTTTTAATAAAACACATTAAAAATAATTTAAATTTAAATAAATGTCTGTGTGTTTTTTGAGTTTTGACAGAGGGAGGCATGTTCATCAAGCAGTGATAAAAGGGATACATAGGGCAAAGAAGGTTGAAAGCTGCTGTGTTAAAATGATGTTAAAAAAAGAAAGAAATTAAAACTGAATTTTAAATAATTAGGAAACTTGCTTAATTATGTTCAAATATTAGGTGTGTTCATGCCCTAATTAGGTAGTATTGACTATGTAAGTCCTAATTAGCTAGTATTGACCATATAAATAAAAGTTGGAGGTTTTCCATGTGCTGTTTAAATAAGGAGAACAAACAATTTAAGTAATTTCTTTAATTTGCATGTATTTTGTTCTAGTAAAAATTTTCTCTAAAATTGTAACAATTGATCTAAAAAATGAAATAAAAAAATTAAAAAAAAAAAAAAAAAAAAGCATATCACATGGTTTAATTTTTGTATGCATTTGTTCTTTGAACTCCCTATGTGGCATGGCCATCTTTATTCAATCATGAGTTTTTTTATCATTTGATGTATATTACCTTATTTTTTAAAAAAATTTTCTACTTATTTACTTTATTTATTTAAATATTATCGTAATGAATGACAGTTTTTGAAAACATAGACTAAAATAATTAATTGCATTAATTTAGCTAATAAATGCTATTTCAATACAGACCATCACAAACAGATCCAAAAAAAAAAAAAAAAAAAGTGCCATTCACGGAATTAATGCTTAGATTGTAGTAATTTTTAAAGCATAAACCTTTTATAAACTGACTGTTTGCTATATGAGAGTTCCTGAAATTTTCATTGTTTTTATTTATCATTAAACTCAAGGCATAGTAAAATTTCCTACTTTTCTCCAGTTTATTAAAATATGAAATTACATGAAATATGTTTTCTTTAATATTCAGTTCAGTGCCGGTTTAAAATTGTATGTTGTTTTATTTGCTTTGAGATTTTTATTCCTTTGAATAACCTATACATTCTCCCCATTCCCTTTTTGCCTGCAATCCCATATTGCAAGAGGAAATTATGGAATAAAAGATATGCTGTGCAGTTTTCTCCTTCCTAAAATTCATTTAAAATTTATTGTAGACTTCTATTAGTTACATGTTATACTTTGAGATTTTAATTTTAAAACTTAAAAATTTTCCTTTTATGTAATTTCGGAGGTTGATTACAACATATAATGTGAAAGAGGGGAAAAATACAGTACTGGAGCAATAACTAAGCATAATTTTTAAAGTCTAATTCATATGAACATTTTAGCTGCATAAATTCCTTCCTTACTAGTAAACTGGAATACACTGCATTATTTTTCCACCTTGTGATTTTCCAGTAATACAAATAGAGAAAATAGAGGGGAGCAGATGTACATAATGAAGCATGATATTATTTTTGTTTTCATGTAAACTTTTATATTTGTTCATCTTTTAATTATTTTAATGCACCTGCTGAATCAAGATTGCATTTTAAAATTGCAACCATAAAATAAATAAGTTCACTATTTAATTATTAATTTGGCATATTTTCTACTTTTTCCCATCTTTCTACGTTCTAATTAGTATTACGTTTTAGTAATGTACTTAACTTAATTACTTTAATAACAAAACATCTGTACTTTCTTGAACAAACAAGTAGAAACAATGTGTTTGATTAAACAGGAATTACATATTTAAATATAATACATGATTCTGGATATTATGAATTACTCTTTAAATATATTATAAAACATTTTATAGATACATTCTTTTAGTCCAGAAATGTGTATTCTGATCTTCATACTCAAAAATAATTTGAAACAACAATTTTAACATTATTATTGATTAATGAATGTGTTTGCATTTTTCAGTTAAACTTTCAGTAATGATAACCAGAAGCAAATATAATTTAATAAATTTGCTTCAGGCAGGTCCAGAAGCTATAACTCATTTTCAAAAGTTTAATAACTTTTAAGTCATACATTGTATGTCTAAATGATCACATAACAAAATTATGTTTAGGAAAACGTACAGCAGTGTACCTTAAAGGGCTACAAATTAACCTATCAGAAAACAATGCTGTGTTACTAGCCATTATTTAGATGTGTATTTAACATATTATGTCTGGTAAAATGATTGCAAGAAAAAAATCCTTTTGCTGCAGTATGGATGTTGTAGGATAATCAATACTTCTCAACAGAAACAGTCCATTTAAATGACATTTTTTATTTGCCCTCTATTAATTTATATGTTCTCTTTTTATTTTCTTTGAATTTTTTGGATAAAATATAAGTTTTCTCTTCTACTTTGGTATTTATTTAAGAAAATATGATCAGAGGTAACTGAAAAGTACCATTTTTTTTATAAAATGTAAAACACATCAATATTCCTGTCTTGTCTTAGGAAATGTTTATAATATGAGGGATAATTAAAAAGTAAACTCTGTATTATCACATGGTCAAGAAATAAAGAGACATACACTTAAAAAAAATAACTTTATTTTTTAAAATAAGTCCCCTATATTTGTCTCTTACTTTACATTTTTGTGTATAAATATGTTGATTACCACAGCTACAAATACTCAGCTTCCTGAATTTCTTTTGTGTAAAGAGCTTACATGTTTCTACTGAATGTTATCATCTTTTTCTTTTTGGGGTCATAATGATTGAATTACATGTTTTCTTCATTGGTGATCTTACCGAGAACTCTGGCATTTGATTTATACTGTTGTGTAAAAAAAATATACCATGTCATATCATATCAAAAAGTATACAACCATAGAAAAGAATAAATCATTGCAGTTATGTGATTAGGGTGGTATGCTATATGCAAGAAGGTGGCAGGCAGCCCGAGGAAGCTTCATTCATTAAACAGTAGCAAATTTTTCTCTTGTACATATGTTTTTGCTCACACACTTGTCCTTCTCATAACATCATTTTCTAATGAGTTTCAACAAGTTGTATACCCCTAGCCCAATAAAATATTATTATATTAGCTGATCTGAAGTGTAGCGCTCACACAGATTAACAGTCATGTTTATGACCATATGCATGACTAGTTGCTTATCAAGGGCAAATGTTCTTTGCTCTTAATATGTAATTATGCCACAGCTTATTTACATAATAAGAACATAAGGCTGACTTCTTGATTTATCAAAGGAGTATTTTACAAATTAGAAAAGGATATGTTGGAGGAGGGGTTGTGTTCCTCACAGACTTTTGTGTGGTTGTTTAAATAATTTATAAAGTAGTTTGAAAATTTCAGTTTAGGTATAAAGTCTATGTCATATGCAATGCCACACTCATGCATTTAAATTACTTTAAAATCTTCATCAAAATATTATTTGCAGAATATTGTTTCTTTATATTAAAAGTCACCATAAAAATTAAAAAGATGTAAAATAACTTTACTAAAGCTTTAAATTTACTTAGCCTGGGGGAGGGGAACAAGTGATCCAGATAACTGGAGTTCAAGATATGTGTGAAGTTCTACTATAATTCCAATAATACCAAAGACACATATGCAATATATAAATCTGAACTTTTTTGTTATAAGTTAATAAAATGCTTATATATTTAATGTACAATTGTTGACATTGTACACAAGCCATAGTAAGCTAAAATTGCAATATATGATACATTATTATGTAAGAATATCATACATATATATGCTGTATATTGGTTTATGATATTTACTTCACCTTATTGAAAGTTTAATACATAGTTGAACTTTTGAGAAGCTGAAAACAATAGGAAAAGCTTTGAGAGATTAAAAGTTCAAGTAAATGAGATTTTCAGAAAATTAGGCTTAAAAAAGTCTGGAATTGTACACTGATTTTCATATAAATATGCTTCAGAAAGTCAGATGGGAAATTACTGTATACATTAATGATAAAAATATTTTTATGTACATATGAAATGTTGAAAAAGTAAAGAACTCCATTGCTATGATTTTTAGAGATGATGTTAATGCAAGTGAAATTGATGAAAGAACTTCTGGAGAATATGATGTAGGCATAAATATACATAGTTCTAATGGAGAATTACAAAATAATTTCCATCTGAAAATGGCAATCGCTTTTGCTTTCATTTGTTCCTTAATTCACTTAATCATTTCATTCAGATAAAAAATCTTAGTTCCAAATCAAAAGTTCAGTCTCTTAATTACAAACCAAAATTCAGATGTATTTGTAAAATGCAATTTTCTTTACAATACATTTTAAAATATTCATAAAAATTAAGTATGTGGTTATTTTTAGGACTGACTAATTGATTTAAAAAAACACAGGAGTGCATACTTCACATTTAAAGATTTTACAGTTGAGATACGAAGGTTTCACCTTATGGTTTAGGTATAAAATGTCACTTTGAGCACTTAAAAAATACAGAAAACAATTTCAGTGTTATTCAAAAAATATTTTGACTGATCACATTTTTCTGAGTTAAAAGAAATTTAACTTCTCAAGTGAAAAATTTAACTCTTTTTACCTGAAGAAACATTTAGCTTTACTCATATGAAAATTGTAAATTAGTATTAAAGTTTAAATAATCAAAGTTCCAGTGTATATAGATATGATTTAAAATGAATTTTAGACATTATATAGCATTCAAAAACATAATAATGCGAAATAATAAATAGTTTGACATAATTATTTTAGATTCAATGAATGTATCATTTATATTAGCTTCTGATTTTATAATCTTTTTCAATTTTAGACCAATCTGCAGAATTTTGAAAATGTCATCATCTTTGGAGTGGAGCAAATGGTAATTTCTCTGTTTCACTTTTTTATGTGAATAATGTTAAACTATGTTTAATTTTCAATAACAAACTATTACTATTTTCTGTGCATAGATGCCACACTTGGAAGAAAAACTTGCAAAAGAGCTTACCCAAAATGGTTGTGTTATTGCATGCAGGTATCCATTACCAAACTGGAAGGTAACTAAATCTGTTGGCAGAGGAATTGATAAAGTTTGGCTGTATGAGAAAAACTGTGCTCTTAAATAATTATTAATTATTAATTATTTTTACTTCATAGTTTCTATTTTTATGTAAAGTTCAAAAGTGAAACATTAAAGTGTTTATTTAAGGTATGATAGGTGTGTATATATATATATATATATATATATATATATATATACAGAAGTCTGTCTGAGAAACTTTTCTGAACAATATTCTTGCATTTGCTTTACCTGATTCTCAAATATTCTTTTAAAATCATGTTGCACATTATTAAGTATATATGCATTATTAAAATGGTATTAATCTGCTGCTGAACAGTAAATTAGAGGTCTTCATTAGATATAATAAAGTTTATTCAAGTGTACGAGGAAAAAATATGCATCAGAAGTATACCAGAATGTTCAATAAGTTCGTGGAACGGAAATGAAGAAACCAATTTTTATTTGTAAAAAATGACTATTTTTCAACGTAGTTTCCCTCAACTTCAATACACTTATTCCAACAATCTTCTAATTTATGGATCCCTTGACTGTAGTGGTTTTTCAGCAGCTCTGCAAAATATCCCTCCACGGCAGCTATTACCTCTTCGTTTGAAGAAAATCGTTTTCTACGGAGATATTGTTTGAGGTGTGGGAAGAGCCAGAAGTCGGAGGGAGCTAAATCTGGCGAATAGGTTAGATGTTGCAACAATTCGTACTTCAATTCAGTTATTTTAGCAATGTTTTTTTAGCTGTATTTTAGCAATGTTTTTTTAGCTGTGTGTGCAGGTGCGTTATCTTATTGGAAAATGATTTTCTTCTTCTGTAATCCGGGTCTTCTTTCACAAATGTTTTCGTCTAATTGATTAATACAATAACAATTCCGAATTAATTGTTTTGCCAGTTTGAAGGTAATCTCTAAACAAAATTCCTTTCGCATCCCAAAAAACTGATGCTAACACCTTCTTAGCTGATTTTTGCACACGAACTCGCTTCGGCGCCAAAGAGCCGGGTTCACACCACTCCTTAGCCTCCTGTTTTGATTCAGGATCATGATGGTAGACCCTAGTCTCATCCATTATGATAAATTGACAGATAAAGTCACTTTTATTCTTCTTAAAACGCTTCAAATGTTGCTGCCAAAGTCGCATCTAAATGTGTTTTTGCTCCATCGTTAGAGAATGCAGCACCCATTTTGCACAGAGTTTTTTTAAACCCAAATTAACACTCAAAATATTGCTCACTGTGCCCAATGAAATGCCTAAAGCCTCTGTTAAATCTCTTTCAGTCAATCGACGGTCTTCCAATACCATATCTTGTATTTTTCCGATGATTTCGGTGTTGATGCAGTTTTTGGACGTCCCTCTCGCGGATCGTCTTCAAGGCTGGTATGACCACTTTTGAATAAACTAGCCCACTTGCAAACCATTGTTTTTGAAGGAGCAGATTCACCCAACACATTCACCATTTCGGTATGAATTACCATTGCCTTTAAACCTTTCTTTACAAAGAATTTGATAACTACACGTTGCTCAATTTTATCCATACCTGAAAAAAGGCACAACACGTTAGATATAAAGGGCGGTTAAACAATGAATAAATTAACAGATCAAAATGAAACTTTTGACGTGTTCCTAAGAAAGAACAAATATGAAAATGGCGTCGAAGTTTTAGGTTTAATATTGATGAATAGATGGCGCTCTGCAAACTTATTGAACAACCTGGTAAAATGTAGCCACATATAACTCGCAAAATTAACCAGTCACAGACTTGATAAGATAACAGACTTAGAAGTGAGTTACATGTTTTACATATTACTTTGTGAATGAAAAGAAAGCTATAGAATGAAATAGGAGATAAGTGAATACATCCACAACACTTATTCTTTCGCAAAACCTAGAAAACCATAATTATTAACTGACAATATATCCAATGTCATGTATTTGTGTTACTGTTTAATACATATAAATGGCATCAGTATTAATTTCTTTCATGTTTAATGGGATGACTGTTAATATCTTCTTGACTTTAATGTACTCTTTTCATATTTTGTTTGCTACTATATTGAGATATAAATTCTGGTATACAACTAAACTGAATGTTATATTTTATCTAAATGTTAATACAGTCAAAAGTCTTTAATCCGGACTCGTCGGGACTTCGGTGATTCCAGATTATCGGTTTTCCGGATTATAGATCATCAGTTTAAATCTGGTAAGATGGCATGCAGAAATTATAAAACCATAATTTATGAAATAAAGAGCAATTATGATCTAAAGAGTATCAAAATTTACAAAAAAAAGCTTAATATTTATTTTTTTACTTTATTAAACATTTCTTTCAATGCGTGCATGCGTAAAGTATACATTACGCATAGTCGAAATTAGAAAATTGCAACCAGAAAACTATCAGATGTGTATTCGTGATATTTATAATGATGAGGAATTTGATTTAAATCATATCAAAGACGGAGTACATCGAAATTAAATACTACATTAAGTAAGGAGTTATAAGCCGAATAAAATAAAAACATCTGCTCTGAAGATAACGATAGTGTTGACAAATTCATTGGGCGCCGCGACGTCGCCCCCCCGCGCAGAGCAGCGTGAAATTGATAAACAGATTTCGTAACGGTTAGATAACAAAGAATATGCCTTTATCCATTTTTGGTAGCAATTCGTTTTTTGTTTGATGGACATCGAAACATACTTTCGTTTTCTAGATCCTTTGGGAGCTCCAGCATCGGAAATTCTATTTGACATAATCGAAAGTTCGAGCTTACTTTTAGAAAATTGCTCTTACAGTCTGCAAAAAATAATAAGAAGGATCCAATTCGAAGATTAAGAAACAACACAATCATCAACATTAACTGAAATAGATAATTAGATAATTTTAGCTTATACCGTCCGTTATATATTAAACGCGCACGCGAAAACGTAGTCTGCACTTGCGCAGACGCATATGCGCAGTCGTAAATGTCTTGTGCGCACGAGTAAAACGCCTATGCGCATGCATCAATGCGGCGCATGCGCAGAAAGATTTTAGCTTTGAGGTCCGGATTATAGATCATTCCGGATTACGGGTGTCCGAATTAACGACTTTTGACTGTACACTTTAAAAAAAGATTAAAATTCCTTTTCAAATTTGTACAATTTCAGAGTTTTAATACAGCATAGTTCAATGAGTATATGTACACTGATCAGCCTAAATATTATAACTACCCTCTTGATGATGTGTTGCTTTACCTTTGACATGCAAAATAGAAAAACTTTACCAGATTTGTGAAAAAAGGCCATATATTGCCGACACATTATTAAAAGGTAGCTGGTAAGCTTTGTGACAATATTCGAAATGCGCATAATAGGATTAATATCCAGCAAGTTTGGAGATTGGAACATAACTAAAATTCATTGACATATCACACAAAGCACAATTCTCGACTTAATGACAAAGAGCATTGTCTTGCTGGAAGAGTATATTTCTGATGGGGCAAATAGAAGCCATGTAAGGGTGTAACTGATCAGTAGTGATGTTCACACAGTCTGCTATTGTCATGGTGTTTTCTAGAGTAAACCTTCAATCCCTGATATGCCCACAGAAAGCACTCCAACACCAGCCTAATTATCTCCTAAAGTATGTGAGTAGATTCAGTTGTTTGTCTGTAAGGCAGTGTACCTTGACATGGTCATTGAAGTGATGTAAAAGAAATTGTGATTCATCCAACCAAGCATTTTTGCATGTCCATGCATTTTATGGATTATATGAACTCGGATCCTCATTATATTCAGGTTAGTTGGGTCTCTCTTGCTATTTACTTCAGCAAAAGGTACCGTCTCCGATATTTGCTTTCAACGACTCATCATTCCATTGAGTGCATTCTCATAAAACAGGGAGGTTCCGACAGTTAAGTGTTATATACATAGAATAAATGTTTAATATTATGACAAATGAAATATTTTAACATGTTTTGAACTAGACTCACAATAAATTTAATTTAATGAAAAGTTTTTTTTTTTTTTTTTTTTTTTTTTTTGTCTCTTGTTTCTACTTCCTTTTTACCAATGTGAATTTATCTTTGAAGCTTTGCTGCATGAGAATCAGCCAACAAATATTAGTCTGAAAATTTTAAATATAGAAAATGGATTAATCAGATTTATAGGTGAAACAGAAATGTATGCTTTCACCACATTTCTTGGTAATTGTAACACAATAAATTTTCAGAAATCTTCTTTGAACAAAAAATATTTTGCATTTAATTCAGTTTTAGTGAAAAATAACATGATTTTATAATTTTGACAATAGCAAAATTCTTAAAGTTACTAATTGGGCATTCCTCCATTACAATTTATGCTTCAGATTTCAAAATAAATTAATTTTTGAAATGGTTTTTAATATTTTAAAAGTATAATCATTGAGCCAACAGTTTGTTCAAACTTAAAAAATTCATAAAAAAGGAAGAAATTAAGCTAAAGAAGTGCCGTTGGCAAGAAAGGGCTCGCAAGAAAGTCAGATTTATTTTAGCAGCAAAAATTAATAATTTTGCAAAATAATCTTTCAATAAAAGACTGATTAAGATTTCAAATTCACTTTCAGAATGTTATCATTACCCAGGTGAGCATTGTTGGTGAAGTTGTTCTATTTGAATAGAGAGCTGGCAACTGTTCCATTGCGAAAATTTCACACAGCAAAAGGATTGAAGATGTAGAATGGCCCCATATCATGTTCTGGAATACTGAAGCCTGTCAAACGGTTTAAAAAAATAATGGCTCTTTGGAGGATCGGCCACAAAGTGGAAGACCCTCATTGGCAAAGGGCTGAATTGCTGCGATGGAAACCACTAGGAACTACAGAGTGGTAGAATCTTCCATGGGGAGTAGCAGTGCTTGCACAGCTGGAAGGATATGGGATGTGCCTCACTCATTGGCATATCCTCAATAGGGTATTGCATCTCTATCCCTACAAATTGCAGTAGCATGATACTGCAATCTATCCCTACAAATTGCAGTAGCATGATACTGCAATCTATCCCTACAAATTGTAGTAGCATGATACTGCAAAAAAATTACTGCATGAGTTACAGCCAGAAAAAACAACTATGAGGGAATCATTTGTTGAGTGGTCCATAGCAAAAATTGAAAGTAACCCTCAGAGGTTTTTCAATGTTTTCTGTATGTATGAGGCATACTTCACATCACACAAGAATGTCAACACCTAGAACACTACACTTTCAATTTTTGCTACTCATATATGAGTGATGTCGAATCCTCACAACAAAGTCACTGTATCCAACCAATTTGACAGTCTGGTGTGGCTTCACCTCATCTTTCATTGTTGTGCAATTCTTTGAAGAATCGTATCCCATATCTGGCTGGAAAATGTGCACAGTAACTGTTGAGCATTATCTCACTCTTTTGTGTAACAAAGTCGTGCATACAGTAAATCAAAGATGTGTGTTATCTGTAATAATCTTTATGCAGGATGTTGCACCACCACACTATGCCAATCCAGTAAAACAATTCCTATTGAGTACCTTTGATGAAGCTTTACTCTGTAACCTTCACAGAGTGATCAGTCAAGATTACAAGATTGCATGGCATCCATGGTCATCTGACCTTACTCTGGTAGACTTCTGGTTGTGGGGCTATTTGAAATCACTTATGTTAACATAAGTGATTCCAAATAGCCCAATCATCCCTTTCAACATTGGCTGAACTCAAAGGTTCTATCTGTGGTGAAGTTTCTGTAATTTATTCGGATATGTTGCATTCAGCTATAACAGATGTTGTTCTGTACAATGTTTTGGAGGTCATGTTGAATAACTGTTATTGCAAGAATAAGGCATGGAGTGTACTGCTGTCCTGTTCATTGCATTTCAGGTCTTCAGCACCTTCTACCAGTGATATTTTTAACTAAAAATTTTTTTGTACTAAAGAAATCTGACTTCCTCATGAACCCTTTCTAGCAAACTGCACTTCTTTATCATAATTTCTTCCTTTTTTTTTTATGAATTTTTAATGTTTTAATGAATTTTTGGCTCATCCTGTATTTACTCAGTACACGGTGTATCTCATATACTCAGTTCTTTAATTATAACTAATTGTATACAAGTCACAATAAAACTTATTTTAAAATTTTTTTCTGGAAGAAATATTTTTGAGAGGTTATACTTTCTCATCGGTTAACTGAAAATTGTTACTGAATATTAAAAACTTAATATCATCCAATATTATGGACTGACAAATTCTTACATAACTCATTCTAATAATTAATTTCTAAAATTAATTTTATGACTGGTGAAAAAGAAATCCTGTGTGATTAAACAAATACCATTAACATATTTTTATCAGCAAAAATTTTTTTATAATATTAAACACCAAAATTAATGTATTACTCAAAATTCTTCTGAGAGTGTAAAAAATTTCAATTGGAAATTAATGCTCATACTGTAAAAATCAGTTTAGTATTTAATTTTATGACACAGTGACAGAAATTTATGATGGTATATTTTAGTTTAATGTAAACTAGCAACTGTACATGATAACTGAATATAAACATTATTAAATTATACATGTTACTGTGTATACCACAATTTTTGAAAGACAGATGCAACCCACTTTTCTTCATTATGACATTTATTAGAATGATCATACAAAATTACACTTTCACTAAAATATTAAACAATTTCATCACTGCATTATCAGTTAACATATGCCTTTTAACATTTTAAAGTCTTTGATGAAAGTATTTTTTATAGATTGAATACTACTGATAAAATAAATATGGTATATAAATACCAAAGATTTTATTTGAGTACCTTTCAGAATTTGCATATGTAATTTTTACATAAATATTAACCTTTAGGTTAAAAGTCAGAATATATTAAATAAGTGTCTTGTTTTACATGAAAACAGTCTAAAGATATTATATTACAGAGATCACTATAATTGTAACCAAAAAGGAAAAGTAAGAAATATTAAGATTAAAAATCTATAACCTCATTAAAACATGGTAGCTTATTATTTAAAACTTTTTTAAATTATTTTGCTTATTCATCACATGTTAGAAATTTAATAAATATTATTTTTACTTTATTCAGCTAATCAGTAACAACATTTAATAATTTAATATTACATTATCAAATTTCATCCAAAAAAATATAACCATTTTTAATTAGTCAAT